CCTCCAGTCACGAGCCCACAGATGTCAGACCCTGACTGTCTCCTGATCTGACCCCCAACTCGTGCTTGAATTCCCTTTGGGAACTTCCCGCCAGTGCCTGCTCACCAGGGACTCTGCCATCGTGGTCACCAGACTGGCTGTTCCTAGTCCTCAGAGCCAGGTCCTGCGGCAGACCTCCTACAGGGAAGCTCCCTCCTCAGGTGGTGGGGGTCGACTCTTGGTCCCCAAGGCAATGCCCACCCACCGCTCGGTTCTCCTATCAACTTTGGGCCAAGGATTTCTCCCCGTTGGCTCCGTTCACTTGAAAACGTTGTGTTTTTCAGTGCCAATGACTTTTGAAGACGCTACAGTGGAAACCGCCCCTCTCTCTCTCTCTGTGTGACTTCTTTGGCGCCAGGTGTAAATACTGGCACTGAGCTCCTGGAACAGAGCGACCATTGTGCAAAACAGCCCGCGTCCACTCATTGTTGCACACATTTCTATTTACAGTTTTCATTTGTGATATATATATGTATAAATATATTGTGTACATATATGCAACATTTTGTATTTTTCATGGATGTATTTTTATCATTTCAAAAAATGTGTATTTCACATTTCTTGGACTATTTTTTTAGCTATTATTCAATTATGCATTTTGTATACTCGTATGGTGTTTAGTAATAAAATTATACCTGTTTATTCTGTCAAATGGCGCACTTGCTCCTTTGGTGAAAGTCTTCAGTGTAGAGTAGGGAGGTGTCTCGCCGTCCGTCCCAGGCACTCTGGGCATGGCTGGCCAGGTGTGCCACTGCGGAAGGCAGCAGAATCCCAAGGCCCAGCTCTCTGACCCAGGGCAGCCCCACAAAACGGAACGCTAGGCCCTTAGGATCCTTGACTGGATAAAGAAGTCCTGGGGACAGATCTAGGGTGACTTCGCTGAGCCGCTCACAGTGGAGGGCTAGGGACAGAGCCCCGGGTTGGAGGCACATGATTTGAGTTTTGTGTCTGTTCTGGCTCTTACACTGAGCCCAGTTGCTCTCCCTGTATGCACCCCACTCTCTGGTGCCCGGTATGATTCAGCAGCTTGATCTGGGCCGTGGTGGGAGTGTTCACCCTACGGCAATGGACACACGCTACAATCTGGGTTTGGTTTCCTCTAGGCAACCAATCACAGGCCAGGGCGTTGGTTTCTTTTTCTTTGGCGAGCGAGCGAGCTTACCAGGACGCTGTCCCTGTCTCCCTGCTGTGGAGTTGCTTATAGCGCATACTAGCCCTCTAGTGCAGAACTGCCTCTCTCTTTCCAACACTGCAACTTCGTGGGAATAGAAAACTTCCTTTCCCCCAACAGAGCCGCTGGTTGGCTTCTAATTGTTCACCTTGTGGTTCGCAGCCCAGCACATAACCTACTAGGTCACTAGGGCTCCCTACTACCTGTTACTTTGGCCATCAAAGGTGGGGTGTCATGGTCTAGATTGGTTGTCAACAGCCACCCTTAGATCCTCAGGGTTCATCCAAGTCCCCAAGGCCAGCTGGTAGAAGTGTGGGAAGGGGCAGCAGGCAGGTCCCTGAACACCCTGCCCCAGCTTCGGCCCTACAGCGCTTTCCTGGTGCCACCTCAGTGTCTTGTAAGCTCTTTGTCTGAACAAAACTTCAGGAGGAAAAATGTCCAAGACCACACCTAGGCATCTCCACGGGCCTCCCACTCTCCCAGCCACTCGGAGGTCTGGAGTCAGTGCTGGGGTGAGGCGCGGGCAGGGGGCGCACTGGTACCAAGGGGGTGCTGGAGAGCTCCGCATGCATGTTACACAATAATGCAGTGCAATGTTTCGAAAACGAGAACAACAACACAACGTAAACGTCAGAGGCAGGCTTGGTCTGAGTGGTCTTCCCTTTGTCTCCCTTGTGGCTCTCCTGGCATTGCCTCGAGGGGCCTCACTGCTGCAGTGACATCCCTGGAGAGGCCAGGCTGTGGGCGGGGCGGGGCACCCCTCAGGGCCAGAGCCTGGTGGGCAGGGCAAGGTGCAGCTGTTCCACCTCAGCAGTGACCACCTGGACCACCCTCTCCACCCCATGGACCACCCGCTCCACCCCAGCCACCCCGCACAGCCTGGCCAAGTCAATCTGAATTTCTGGAGGCTTGGCCCAGGCACCTCCCGAGGGATGACAATGAGCACTCAGGGCAAGAAGCAGGGCTCTGTCAGTGCTGGACTGGGTGACCCAGGGAGGGAACTGTCAGCCTCGGTGCAGCCTCGGGACCGGAAGTGGGGCTCCCCACCCCGCCACCCCACCCCCACCAGCCCCCGGGCTGTGCTCCACAAACCCAGATCCTGCCCTCGGGGGAAGCAAGGGGTTAGGGGAGCTGCTGTCCTGGCAGCCCCTAGCCCTGCTCGGAGGACCAGGTGGGGTCAGGGGTCCAGGTACACAAGAATGCCCTTTCTAAGCAGGTGGTCATTTCAGACCTCCAGCTCGCTGACCGAGCGCATCGCCTGCCTGGAAATACAAATTTTGTGGTGCCTGCCGCTAACATTCCGATATTTTTGTTTACTGTCAATAAATCTAGGGCACGTGAGTAGGGAAAGGGGGCGAATGGGGAATGGAGGAGTGCGGGGATGAATGGATGAATGAACGAATGAATGAATGAGAAGGAAGGAGGAGTGAAATGACAAAGAAGTGAGCCTAGAGATGAAGAGTTGAACAACAACGTGTGTTAGACCCGCCCTGTTTGAATGCAGGAGCCCTGGGGAGAAATATGGGGCTTTCTGCTCCCGTCAACAGTGAGCCTTGGAAACTCTCAGGGCCAGTTCTGCCCTGTCCTACAGGGTCATGGTGGGGCAGCATCGACTCGATGGCCGTGAGTCTGGTTTTTGTTTTATTCAAAGCACGGTCAGTGGACCAGCAGGATCAGCTTCATCTGAACAATGTCAGGCCCCACCCCATAGTCCGTGTCTTAATCGGACCTCCTGGTTGTGTGCGTGCGCGTTAGAACAGGGGGTGACTTGCCTAAACCATCAGCGCAGCCTAACCCTAGCTGGACACTTATTCCCACCACGCTGAGAACGTACAACAACATCAACTGTCCAAACCCACCTCCGAGCAATAAAACTGGACTTCCAAGGGCTGGGGTCCACACAGGCGCTCTCTACCGAAGCTTCTGAGGTGACCTAATGTCCATCTAAGGCTGGGGGTCACTGGGATGGATGCACTGGACATAAGCAAGGGTCTGGAAGAAGCCCTTAGCAGCCCATGGCTCCTCCAGGAGGGCGGGAGCCATCCAGACAGAGTGTCTGTGCTTAGGGCTTGGGCTCCAGCCATGCTTTCCTGAAGATCCGGCCTCTGACTCCAGCCCACACCTTCATGGCCAAGAGTGTCCTGCCTGGCGGTGCTTGGGGGGCTGTCTGGGGTGAGAAGAGGTCCAACTCAGTGTCCTGTTGATCACCAACAACCTCTGCCTGCAGTGGCCCTGGCTAGTTCCAGCCCAGTGGCCTACTAAAGTCCCCCACCCACTTTACCCTAGGGCCCAAAGAAGCCAACCCCCTGGCCTCAGGGTCTAGCCCATTGGCAAGAGTCTGGGGTCTTGAGACCCGTCTCAAGGACTGTCACCAGAACCTTCAGCACCAAGGTGGACAGCTGATGGCCCACAGGAGAGTCTCATGGGCCTGAACAGCAGAGACAAAAGTTTAACTGACATATGTTTGTCAGCATGTCACACCAAGAGCTTTCACACGTTGAAAGCATTGCCAGATTCTACCGTGGACTCTGCAGATCTCGCTACCATCAGCGGGAGCGGGGGCAGCACCCCAAAGCACCCTCCCTGGCCTTCCCACCCAGTCTGGTCTTCTCTTGAACTGCCCACCCAGCCCCCAGGACGATTTGACCTTGGAGCCCCTGGGCTCACATTCAAGTCTTCACTGCACAGACAGGCGAAAGGTCCCTGAGGCTGGAAACACAGGTGTTTCTGCTTTGAACCCCAGTCTTCCTGAAAGGCTGCAATCGCTGGGAGGGCGCTCCTGGGCCTGACAACAGAGCTCCGGGCTGCCCCTGCATTGCATCCCACAGCAAGAGGGCCTTCGGGGGGAGCAGAAGGTGACAGAGCGACCATCTCCCTTCCGCGAGAAGCAAGACTGCAGTATACTGGCCTGTTAGTCCACATGTTCGCCTCCCGCTCCACGGGGAGAGCCTATCAGGGGCCACTGGGGAAGTGATGGCAAACAGAGAGAGCAGCCCTGTGTGTGTGCGTGTGTCTGAGGAGAGGCAACCTACACGAGAGACTCACTTCCATGAGCGAAAAGTAACATCAGTATTTGGGAAAGGGGTGTGTGTGGCAACCGCTGTGTCCTCTTATTGGAGAGAAACTAGTTGGCCAGAAAAGACCCTTTAAAGACCGAGTCGAAGTTGGTCACCAAGGCTTGCTCTGACGTGACTTTGGAGCGGGAGGTCAGAGCAGGGTGGAGGGGGCGGGGAGAGGTTGGGGAAAGGAGACCCTGCAGGTATGGGTGCACTGTGGCCTCCCCGAGCCTCAGAACAACCATCCCCAGGACTCTGACTCCCACAGGGCCCGGCCACGGCCTCTGTCAAATGCAGGGCCTAGAAGTCCCTTCAGAAGGTGGACCGTGAGAGCATGAGACACCACATCCTTCTGAAGGTGAGATGTGAACGCCCTGACCACCTTTGTGTCTCTGCCATAGGTGCTCTGGGCCTTCCCCGTTAAAACTGAAGGAAGAGTCCGGGAGCCAAGGCCAGAAGAAGCGTCGGGGGCGCATGGCCCCAGCCCTCCGCTACCCCAGAGCCCTGGCTCAGCCCAGTCTTCCCAACACTGCCTGCTCCCTGCAGTCCTACTCCAGGAGCCTGGCAGTCTAGGATGCAAAGGTGCACCCAAAGCCAGATGGGTGCAGGGTGAAGCGGCCGAGGGAGGCTCTGTCCACTCCTCAGTCCATGCAGGAGCCCACTGGAGCCAGTGGGGGGTGGCAGCCAGTCTGGAGAAGGCAGCTGGAGACCAGGACAACACCAGGCTGGGATGGTTGGATGTCACACAGGAAAAATGTATTCTCTTTTAAAAAGTCATGGGGAAGCTGAGTCAGGTGGGCCAGAGGCCAGGCTTCTCCCCGAGCGTCTGTGACGTCACTACAGCACTGGGATCCATTTATGGTCCTCGTTGTAGAGAAAGGACTGCTTGCCTGGGGATTCCGGGTTGTAGGTGGCTGCAAGGAGGGAGAGGCAGCTTAGTGGGAGGAAAGGTCAGGGCTGGAGCGTGGGACGAGGCGGCATTCTGGAAGTCAGCAGGGCCCTGAGTCAGGACCCATGTCTTACATGTTGCGGGGCGCTCACAGGCAGGACTTAAACTCTGCTGCTGCCTCTTGAAGCCCACAGCAGAAACTGTGCAAAGTGTTTACAAAGGCACCGAGGGAAACAGAGTTCTTAAAAAGCCAGGTGTTAGTTTGGTGGGATCCTGTTTTGTACAGGATCCTGTTAGTACAGGAATGCTCAGAAATGTAAAATCTACAATTACAGGTATGGTTCCCTAGGAAATGAGTAGCGAAGAGCACACCAGGCTTGGGAACCACACCGCATCTCCTGTATTGACACAGGCTGGGCTAGTGCAGGGCCTGAGAAGCTGCTGAAAGGGAACTAGGTACTTCTGTGCCCACTGGGTGTCAAGAGGGCAGATGCCTTCATCGGGGCGTGCCCAGGAGGTTCCTTCAGAGGAGTCCACCTGGGCCTAGGCGGGTGCAGTAGCAGGAAGTGCTGGGCTCCTGGCACCAGACATGGCATGCAGAAGGTGCTCAAACAGCCCGAGTGCACTTGGTCAGATAGACCAATAAGCCCGCCCAGCCCAGCCCTGGGGCCTCCTGGAGCTCACCACTCAGGTGGGGCACCTGTGCATTTGCCAACCCAGACCGAGTCCTCTCTGGGCTAGCCAGACACCTCACGGTCAAGTCTTGTTGGCTTGGGTGTCACTGGATTTGCAAAACCAAGGCTGTGAGAGTGAAGCTCTCCCACTGCACTCTACCTTTACCTTCGTGTGTGTTGAGAGAGCATGTCTCCCATCCAGAATGAGGCCATTGGGAGTCAAACGCCAGGTCAAATTCATGTCTGCCTCCCCAGGACCAGGGAGGAGAGGGATTTAGTGGGCCTACCTGTAGCCTTGTCAGACCTGTATTCCTCCTCGCCATGCCACCTGCCCAGCTACACAGCTCCCAGCCCTAGACCTTGCAGGGGCATTGTAAAGCTATAAGGGACCCCCACCACCACCAGAGTGCTGCAGATTGGTAGACATGCTCAGAGACCACCCATCAGGGTGAGTCAGCCCCTTGGGATGTTAGCCTTCAGGTAGATTCTGAAGCTAACAGGGCATCATTGCTTAAGCTCATCTGTCAAGAGGACGCTGAACTAGACAGGGTCAAAGGAGCGCTCCAAGGAGTCTTCCCTGGTTTATTTCAGCACACCTGGGGCACAGGCTCACAGCCCGGCCTCTAACTTCCTGTGGGCCTGTGCAGGCAGCTGGTTCTCCAGCTATCCCCATCTGGAAAATGCGTTGGCAGCCCAGACCACTGCCAGCAGGTTTGAGGACAGGGACCTCTAAAGGGTACCCCTGACAAATGTTGAGTTGACAAACGTGGTATGTTTTCACAATTAAAAAAGAAAGAAAGAGCATGAAGCTTTTTGAGAATTTGACAAAAGCTATATGACCTCCTCCCCTTCCTCAGGAAATGTGTGTCTACTCCAGACCGGCACGTGATTTCAAGGCCAGACTCCCCGGAGCCCACCGTTCAGCCTGCTGGCAGTTCATGGTCATCAACTATGAATCTCTGGTTTTGATCAAGTAGAAAGCCCTTTCAATTAAGAAAAGAAGAAATATTCTCTGGGGATGTGAGCTGATAACAATTCTCCATCGCCTTTAACCCCGTCCTGTTTGGCAAGCAGCCTATAAATCAGCGGCATTTGATGGCCCGGGAATAACAAGCAATTCTGGAAGATTTGGTTTTACAATCATTTAAACCAATCTGACCTGGGCCGGGGAGCCCCAGCTGGGACGGTCCCGCCATCCATCGCCTGGTGTTGGACACGAACGACGCGCTCGAGATGAAGTTCTTGGGGGTGTAGTCCACAATGTCATACTGACCAGGGCCCGGGAAAGGCGGCTTAGGCGGGAGAGGCAAAGGCTGGGCAGAGAAGTTCAGGACGGGGTTTTTCCTTCAGGAGAGACAGAATGTGAAGAGGTCACTACAGCCGTCTGTGGCGGGTAAGGCCGGCTTTCAGACACAGTACTAAGTCTAGCCCGGACTCGAGGCACCAGGAGACTTTGGGTAGAGTCCTAGCTCCACGAGTAAGCTGGGGGTCTCTGGGCTTCCTGCCTTAGTCTCCCTCCCTGCACAATGGTATCACAACCAACCTACTTAGTAGGCTTGTTACCAAGAGTAAATGAGATGATGCCCCTAGACCCCAGGACTCCGGACAGGCCTGGTACGGGGCGAGAGGTCAGTGTACATTGGTTGCAGATGTCACTTTGGAGTCTACCAGAATTCATCTCAACACCTCTGATCGACTGGCGGTGTCTGGCTGGTGCTCTGTGTTAAGAACTCTGAAGCCTCAAGTCGGCTCAATGGGAAAAGGCATTGGTGATCTACTTGTGATGTCTGCCATGGGCCAGGGCAGGGAAAGAAGCAGCCCACGTCCTGGGGACTTGTCCTCTGAAGACTAGATGATCTCTAGAGGCCATTCCAGTTTTGGAATTCCAGAATCTTCCTGGCAAGGCAGGGTGCTGGAGTAGAAAACATTGGGTTGGAAATCAAGAGCAGTCTGCATAACAGTCTGTTTTCAGATCTGTCTCCCCCTCCTTTTATCTCTGGAATCAAGAGAATGAAGGGAACAAGTGACTAGAATTTGTACTTGAGCTGAGTCACTGTTCATGCTGGGCCTCAATGGCCTCATCTCTAAAATGAAGGGGTTGGACAAGATGACCTGAGATCCCTTTAAGCGACGGCCTTTGGTGGACCTGACTTGGCTGGGGGATCCTGGGGTTGCTGTGGGAGTCCTGCTGCTCCCTGCACTGTGCGATCCTGCCGCTCACTGAACGGGAAGGCAAGGTCCTCAGAGCACTGAATGGCCAACGGAGCCCCGCCCCACCCCCCAGCAGAGCATCCCATCAGAGGAAGGGGCCCGGGGCTCCTGGCCACTGGGACACACTGCCCTTGAGGAACACTTCTCAAGGATTCTTCAACTCTGGGAGCTAGAGAGGACCTAGAGACGCCTTATTCAGCCTCCCTATTCCGCCAGAGAACTTGGTGAGAAAAAGTCACAGAGGGGGTCAGTTCTGGAGAAGGCAGTCCTGGTCTGAATTCCAGTCCTGCCACTACTGGCTGTGGGGTCGAGCCCCCTGGGCTCTCTGTACCTCAGTAGCAGTGTCTCTGGCTGGGAGCAGCCGCACCCACTGTTTTTAAGGGAGCCACGATCAAGAGAATGGAAAGCCCCTAGCATTGTGCCAGCACATAGTCATTAGGAGTTGGGTCTCAGGGGAACCTTGGGGGCTGCTCAGTGAGAAAGCCACCAAAGCTAATGTGGACATCCTGGAGGTGGACGCTTTGTGGGGGACTGGATGGACCTGGCCACGTTTTGAAGAAAGGTGAGCACAAGCAAAGGCGGGGGGAAAAGAAACAAAACCGTCCCTCCTTTCTTCCCCTCCAATCTGGTTACCATGGTGACCAGCAAACTGCCCTCTTGTTCTGGCTTGTGGCTCCCTCTTTAAGGCACCCTGAGAAATCTGCTAAGTATATGACTGGCTCAATTCCTGGAAACTAGAGGCAGCTGGAGCCAACCATTGGATGCGGTCATCTCATTTAGCCCATCAGTCTGGGTCACCTCAGCCTGAGATGCCCACTCTAGTCTTGGAGGAGACCATCATCGGGACCGTCTACAGGAGGCTAGAGCACGCTGAGTCAGCATCGCACCAGCCGCCCTGGTGAGCATGGGCTAGATCCTCGCCCTCCACTCCACCAGTCCAGCCAGGAGGGCATGGCACCTTCAGCTCAGCTCTGTGGAGCATCACTGGGTACCAGTGGCATGTGCGACTCTGTGCTAGGCACCCAGGGGAGGCCAGGCTGTTCTAGACGGAATGCCCTGATGACTTGAAAGGGGAGGATGAGTCCACTACCGGTGACAATCCAATGCAGTTATCCAGTGGACCAAAGAGTGGGCTTCCCGGCCAATAGCTGTGGAAGTCCCTGAGCCTCAGTCTCCTCACCTGCCAAAGGGCTGTTATGAACAGGGCTGCTTGAACCTTCATTCAAAGGAAAGCACTAGTCTGATCTTTAGAAGACATGTGGTATGTTAGAATAAATGTAAAATTCAGTGCACTGAGAGTGCAGGCCTCTCCCCAAGGCCCCCGCCCCACTCCCCCAACCTCCCCCCACCACACATATATACAGACACAAAAGATGAATTCCAACAAATGAACTCTGAAATCCATCCTGAAGAGGTGGCCTTTGCCCTGAAAGAGCAGCAGGGATTCTTCGAGCAGAAAGGGTGGGGACAGGCAAGGTCTCCTTGCCTTGCTCCCACTTGACCCTCCAGAACCAGCCAAGAGTGTCTAACACTGCTCAGCAACTCGCTTTGCCCAGGCTGCTCCTGCTGCCAGGCCACCTCTTTTCCCTGCCAACTGTACTCAGTCTCTGGCCGGTCCCCCCCAGCCCCCCACACCCCTCCCCCACTTCTGCCTGATGGGGTTAGGTGTCCCCTTCTGTGAGTCCCTGGGAGGACATGCGTTTGAGAGGAACTAGCCCCACGACACTTTGGCAAGGAGAGCTGGAATCCCCATGCGAGCTGAGCTCGGTGGAAGCTCTTGGCCCAGAGCCCCAGGCCTTCCACACATCCTGCCCATGCCGGCCACTCTTCTTTTCCTCGGCACGCAACAGGTCGGGTTTTCCATGCTGGGTGCCTGCCCAGCAATTCCAGGGAGGGGGCTGGATTCCCTCACCGTTGAGGGCTCGAGCCCTATCCTGGGAATGTGACATGAGCTTGGGGGACTTTCACCCAGACACAGGCCGAGGGTGGATGAGAGGTAAGTGAGCCTGACATTCTGACCCCCACCTGACATTCTCTCACCCGCCAGGGCTGGTGCCACCCTGTCAGGTGGGGCTGGGCAAATCACAAAGGTCAGGCCAGATCAAGCCCAGGGCAACCCCAAACGCATTGTGGCAGGGCTTTTATGAGCCTCAGTGCTGTTATCAAAGCCACCTGGTCCTGCCCCGTGGAAAGAACACATCTATCAAAGGCTCTGAGTTGGCCACGGCCGGATTAAGTGTGTTTGCAACTTCCAGGGTGAGCTGTTTGCAAATCGCCTGAGAATAATGACGGTCTCAGAGGGCTCAGCAGGTCACCCGGGGAAGGCAGGGAAGGCATCCGAGACCCTGGGGACACTCCCAGGCACAGGCCCACTCTGCCTCGGGGATTCCCAGGGTCGGGAGGGAGAAAGGGGCAATTTTTTCCCTCCTCATGAAAGGGCCGCCGATTGCCTCTGGGGTGGAATGCAGTATCTGTTTAACAGGGTAGCGGACTGACGGCAGATTACAGGCGTTCAGGAAGAAGCACCCCATATCTAATTGAAAATCCCAGGGGAACCGTAGGTGGGTCCAATGTAATTACCCAAATTGGAGGGGGGCCAGCGGGGCTGGCCTCTTCAGCTCTGGCTGTGACAGGGCGGCGTGTCTGTGCAAAACCGGCGGCTTAAAAACTCCAGGAAGTACCGCCAGGGTTAGAGAGATGTCGCTGGGTGCGAACCAGAGGCAGCCCCTAGGAGGAACTACTGTGTTCTCCCAAAACCCTCCGCCTGATTCAGCAGAGCCCACTGAGTCACTGCTGTGACGGCCTGGAGACGTGACACCGTGGCTGACGCTTCCAACAACACGCCAAGGGCTGACAAAGCCTCTGAGCTTCTGAGTCAGCAAGGTGGCCAGGGCCTGGGAACACCCCAGGACGTGCCCTTCAGCTGAGGGCCCAGAGTGCCCGTGCAACCCTCCCAGCCCCAGGGGGCCACTCCAGAAACCTCGGGGGCAGGCGGTGGGACCACTCAGCACTCTGATAAGAGGAGCACCCACTTGTCAAAACCCAAACCACGCCTTTGCTATCAAGCTGATTCCAGCTCACGGCAACTCCCGAGCAGAGCTGCCCGCGGCGTTCCTGGCTGGGATCCTCACGGAGTCGGGGTGCCAGGCCTTTCTTCCGAGGGGCTGCTGGGTGGGCTTTAAACTGCCAACCTGCGGGTGCATCGATGAGCACAAACATAAATGGCTACCGTTTATGGAAAGCATATTACATGCCGGTCCTGGTGAGCTCTGCGGGTACTGCTATTTGTACCCCAGCAATCCAAATTCTAAGCGTGGCTTTGAATCCTTGGCGATCAGGTGCACCACTATCACCCCACCCTCAAGGTGGGAGGTTTGACTGAAGTCTGAGGAGCTTGTACTATACCCACCAGGCCATCCTACCTCCTCAACCGGCTTCCCGGGTGACGCCTTCCCCATCCTGCCACCAGACTCCTGAGGCCATCTGGAGGAGCATTCCACCCCTCCCCTCACAGTGCTTCTTCCATTTATCCCACCAGGACATCGCGATTCCTGAGGTCAAACACCTCCCTCTTTCCTCCTGGTGTCTGAAGAAGGCTGAGCCAGAGACTATTTTGACTTTCCCAGAATAGAATTCCAGTCAAGGGCAACGCAGGCAGGCCTTCTGCCATGCTACACCCGTGCGAAGTCAGGAGCCTGCGCTGTGTGGGCTTCCTGGACAGAAACAGCACAGGCTGCCCCGTGCCGCCCAGGAGGGCTGACTAGGGTCAGTGTGGCTGCGGAGGACCGAGGCTCCACAGAAGTCACGTGAACGTGTGCTCCTGGGGTCTCCCCTCCCGGGACCCAGGGTGCAAAGGCTCCGGTTAGAGGGCCTGCGTTTGCTTACTCTCTCGATATTCCGTTATGGGTTCTTGTTTTTAATATCAGCTTCTTCATCATTCAACATTAACCAATGGATGCTTCTCAGAATAAGCCCCGAGCACACTTCAGTTTTATCTTCTTGCTTTATAAACAAAATTATATGGTTCTCGGCTTCATCGTGTCAAATCCTACAGATTCCGGGACCGCCTTTGGGAGCCCAGCCTGGCTCCATGCTCACTGTCCCCCATCTAGGGTCGTGGAGCGTCAGGAATG